TAACAATAACAACATATATATTTATATAATTTAACAAATGTATAAAAATTTGAAAGAGGATATTGATACAGGGGTATTGACTTTTCTTTCAACCACAACAATGAATGTGGTTGAGCATACAGCAGGCAAAATGATGAGAAATTCTTAGATAGTCAACATCTTAAGGCAATCAGTTGCTGGGCTCTGGACCACAGTCTCAAGACATCATGGTCAATTGGAATAACATACTCCACAAAGACAATGTTCTACATCCCACTCTGGTGAATAGCATCTGGGATCCTAAAAGTTCACAAACAGCCAACTAAGTTGTAGCTATTAATCTTTCCATGTGCAAAAGAAAGCAGAGTGATGAGAAATGAAGACGTGTGGAATCAATTAGCCTAACAGAGAAATGTAACATGTGAATATCAGTCTCCATGACTCAGACCAGAAGAACTAGATATACCTAGCTACCACTACCAACTGTTCTGAAAGGGATCACATCAGAAGGTCCCAGATACAGTGACAGAATAATTGGAACAAAATTCAAAATTATTACAAACAAAACAAAACTGAGCTTACTGGTCAGATAGAGACTGGAGAAACCTGAGACTGTGGCCCTCAACCACCCTTTAGGTCTCACCCTCGTGACCAAACTTTCAGCCAAGCAATAGATATATAGAGGGGTCAACAACATAAGTAAGGTATGCTCACTATGAATGATGGGATGGTAAATTATTCAAAATGAAAAAGGCAACATTTACCTAAGGATGAAATTGAGAAGGGATGGGTAGGTAGGTGGAATAGAAATAGGAATCACAGGAGGACGTGGGATACGTGGGATAACTGTTGTTGAATGGAGAGGATTGCAGTCTTTGAGATGACACAAAGTGCATGCTTTGTTGAATGTAAAACTGATGATCTTGTCTGTAAACCTTCACTCAATTTACAATAAAAAGTAAAACAAAAACAAATGTATGGCGATAATAGAGTTTAGTGGTTGCCACGAAAAGTGGTTGGGAGACAGTTTTGAGTCCAAAGAAGATTGGAGGGATTTGCTTATGTGATGAAAATGTGCTATATTGTGATTACAGAAGAAGTTATATGATCATAGGCATTTGAGTGAAGTCTTTACAATTGTATATTTGTATTAGAAATTGTAGCTATACCATATCTAAATTATACTTTAATTAGAAAGCAGATATATATATACCATATATAAAGTATACTTTAATTTTTAAAAAAAGTAGAAATGAAAAGTAATGCACACTCACCTTATCCACCTAGGTTCCCACAGGAAATATAATTGCATCATCCCTGGGTAAATGGGGTGTGGAGCTGAATATAACCTCAAAGGGGACATCTTTGGAGAGTTATATGTTTTTATAACTCCCTTTTGGTTCTCAGGTATCTGAAATATCAACAGGACTTCACACAATATCATTTTGGAAAAACCTGATTGTGTAAAGAATCCTTTGATGATTATTTATTAAAATAAGTGCTGATAGTTGCTAGCAAACATGACAACTTTTCTCCTAACTAAGTATTTGCATGTGTGTTTAACCACATCCAGGGAAAATAACGGAAAAGAAGAATTATACTGAGTAACTTGAAATACATAACTCTCTCATGAGTTGTTTTATAGACCTTTGGTAATGTGTTCTTCATAGCCACAGTTTTGTGAATTATGTGGGAGGCATCCTTCTATTATGTTTATCTTACAAATAAAAAGGATGTAAATGACCACTCCAAAGGAAGAGAAAATGCATGGTACATGAAAGACCTCAACCTAGGTTCCCTGCTGCGTGTTAATGTTCTTTTCTCCATCTTTTCCATCCTTAGAGACCTTGGAACCTTTTGACCAGTACTTAAGAAAGAGAATGTTTAATAATATTTATGCATTATTCCGTTACTAAACTTCTGATTGCAAACTCACAACTCAGAATTGCATTTCTCTGTCAGTGACTAAGGTAAGCATTTTGTTTCATGTACAGTTTTAGGGAGTAATGTAATTCACACAAAAGCACCAAGGAAATGATATCGAATATGAGTTATTGGAGCCTAGATCAAATGTTAGAAATCTTTTCCTAAGGCCATGAGGTAAGGCTGGAATATAAGTTTTGAAATGTCTATCCGTATATAGTTCATTGATACATATGAAACATCATGTTGTTTTCCTTAAAGGGGGGTCAGGGAAGGAATACAAGATACTCTGATTGAGTAGGTGGTACTTCTACCTTGCTCACTATCTATTTGCCACTAATTGAAGGTAAAATTTTAAAAGAAAGAGTTGAATGACACATTTTAGCTGTAGAATGGTCCTCATTGAATTATCAAGATCTATACTGTATTTTGGAATCCTGGAGTGATGTTGTGGGTTACTACACTGGTCTGCAAGGTCAGTTTGAACCACAAGGTTAATGGTTCAATCCTACCAGCCGCCCCTTGAAAATCCTATACAGGGTTAGCTTTGAGTCAGAACAGACATGATGGCACTTAACAACAACAAAAATACTGTATTTTAACCTTTGCCTTTAATCTCATCCTTAGTTATTATTAGCACATCTACAAATGCTGGCAATGCAGAAAGCATGCGATTTTTATTTAGTCAGACCTAGATTTAAACCTTGAATCTTGAATATTCCTGGTACTCGCTGTGTAATTATAGAGTATTGCATAATCTTGTGAATCCTTAATGGTAAAATGGAAATAATATCTTTTGGGTTATTGTGAGAATTCATTGAAAAAAATTGCATGTATATCTACATGTGTTATCATTGGTCATTGAACATAGTGTATGATAAAACTGCTTATGTGTATTAAAGTTTGGCAAACAGAGCATTTATAAATTAAGTGAACTTGTGGAAGGATTAAAAGGAAAATGGTAAATAATAGTGGCTAGTAGAGGATTAATGTCCAGCCAAAGACTTCAAATTCAACTAAGTGCCGTCGAGCAGTTCCAACTCATAGCAACCCTGTATAGGGTTTCTGAAGAGCAACAGGTGAATTTGAACCACTGACCTTATGATTCAATATGACCTTGAGGTCAAGTGCTTATCCTACAGTGCCACAAATTGTAGTTGTAGTTGTTAAGTTCCATCTAGTTGGTACCAACTCACAGCAACACTGTATAGAGTTTCTGAGGAGTGACTGGTGAGTTTGAACTGCTGATCATGCTGCTCAAACTGGCCTTGCTGTCCAGAAAATTATCCTATAGTACCACACAAATAGAAGATGTAAAATTTGTGTTTGTACAAGAACAGATTAAAAAATAAAAACTATAAAACCTGGAATTTTTGCCAGGACAGATTTGGCAAAATGTACCTATAATGGATGAATTTACAACCTTTAGTTTCTGAACCTGCTATGGAATAACAATAAGGAAAGAGAATATAAGTTTAAATAAATGAGACTCTTTCAATTCAAGCTGAAATATGGATTTCATGTAAGGATGATAAAAGAAAGATTCATATGTAACGGTTAGCAGAGCTATGCATATGGGGTGGAGGGTGCTAAGAGACATGAGGGGACTCAGTAAAACTCAGAGAACCAAGTGCCTAATGAAAGGCAAGTAAAGGAACGAGGGTATCAGATATTGAAAACTCACTCATACTTTAAATTACCTCTGTGGTGCTGTATGACAAGCACTGGACTGCAAGGTCAATTTGAACTTTAAGGTCAATTTGAACTACAAAGTTGGTGGTTCAAACTCAAAAGCCACTTCTCAGAAACCCTATATAGGATTGCTATGTGTTGGAACCGACTTTATGGCACTTAAAAACAGTAGCAAAATTTTTCGAAACTAACATTGAGGTCATTGTGAGAACCTTATATTATACTTAATGTTATACTAACACTAATATTAATTGGTGCTAGGCTGTTAACCTCAAGGTGAGCAGTTTGAATCTACTAGCCATTTCACAGGAGAAAAATGATACTTTCTACTCCCGTAAAGATTTATTGCCTTGGAAACTCTATACAGGGTTGCCAGGAGTTGGAACCGACTCGATGACATGCAACCACCACCAGACCTAATTTTGCTCATTTTTAAATGTACTACCCCATTTAATTTTCACAATACCTTGAAGTGGGTCTCATTACCATAATTATTTTGTAGATGAAGAAAATAAGGAACAGAAAATAAGAATTCAGACCAATGACACCTCGGTAGTAAATAATAGGGCTGATATTTGAACATATATACACCTCTTCCCAGAACTCTAATTTTATACTCAATGCATGTCTTTCTCTTTAGCTTCTGCTGGTTGTACATGGCTTACTGCTGAAGTTAAACCATCATATACATCTACTATACAAATGTCTCTCAATATATCACTGTACATCGACACCCATTGTGTTTGGACCAGTTGAGACAAAGAGTAAACTGAGTTAAATACAGTTTTATTTAAATTCAGTTAAGATCATTAAAATTGGGAATATTTTGCCTGGATTCTAAAATTGTCTTTGCCAGTTAATACTTTTGTAAACTTGAATAAGTTTCTGAACCTCTTATGCCTTGTAAGAAAACAGAGATATGAACTAATCAACCTCAAATGATTGTTGGGAGAAATAAATGAATATGCAAATATGTCTACAACAGTATCTGATACATGAGTGATATATTTCTGGATATTTTTATTGGGTTCATGACATGGGAAATTCCTGTCATTTATGACATGTCCTGTTGGCTAAGTTATTACTTTTCTAGAGGTCACTTTAAAAATCTTTAAAATTTAAAAGTTCAGGAGGTATTCCAAAGGAGCTTTCAGCTTCAGTGATTAATAACTGTGTAGAAAATCATAATGAAGTTCATGCTTTCTGTATGGAGAAATTTGAAATACAAATTATTGCTGTAATGAAGTAATGTACTTGGTATTTAAACATTTCCATTTCACGGCAATCTCTATTTTAACTCTGTTCTTTTATTCCTTATTAATACAGGGCATCTCTTGATTCCAAAATAGCATCAATGGAGAACAGTACTGAAGTCACTCAGTTCATTCTGTTGGGACTAACCAATGTCCCAAAGCTGCAGATTCCTTTGCTTGTAATATTCACTCTCATTTACCTCACCAATGTGCTTGGGAACTTGGGGATGATCATCCTGATTATGTTGGACTCTCGTCTCCACACTCCCATGTACTTTTTCCTCAGTAACTTGTCTCTGGCAGACCTTTGCTACTCTTCAACTGTCACTCCCACAGCTTTGACTGGGTTCCTTGTAGAAGACAATGCCATCTCCTACAATGCGTGTGCTGCTCAGATGTTCTTTTTTGCAGTATTTGCCACTGTGGAAAATTTCCTCTTGGCCTCAATGGCCTATGACCGCTATGCAGCAGTGTGTAAACCCCTGCATTACACAACCACTATGACAACAGGTGTGTGTGCACGTCTGACTATAGGCTCCTATATTTGTGGTTTCCTGAATGCCTCCATCCATACAGGGAACATATTCCATCTCTCCTTCTGTATGCCCAATGTGATCCACCACTTTTTCTGTGATATTCCAGCAGTCATGATTGTCTCTTGTTCTGATAGACATGTTACTGAGATGGTTCTTGTTGGTGCAGCAATTTTCACTATCTTTTTTGCTCTTGTGGTTATCTTTACGTCCTACTTGTTCATATTCATCATCATCCTAAAGATGCACTCAGCTGAAGGATATCGGAAGGCATTATCCACATGTGCATCTCACTTCATTGCAGTCTCCATCTTCTATGGGACAGTCATCTTCATGTATATACAGCCCAGCTCCAATCACTCCATGGACACAGATAAAACGGCATCTGTGTTCTATACTATGGTCATCCCCATGCTGAACCCTCTGGTCTACAGCCTGAGGAACAAGGAGGTCAAGAGTGCCTTCAAGAAGGTTGTTGAGAAGGCAAAAATGTCCATAGGCTTAACTTTCTAATATTGTAGAATCCACAACAACCTAGCATTCCCCTCAGATCATCTATATGTAATAGACTCCATTCTGGCATTTGTGGGGACAAGGTAGCCCTAGAATCAGCTACTTCTTCAAAGAGCCCTTCTTTCTTTTATTATTATTGATGTGAAGTAGCATCGAGTTGGTTCTAAATCACAGCCACCCTGTCTAGGGTTTCTGAGAAGCAGCTGGTGGGTTTGAGCTACAACCTAGTGGTTACCAGTATAGTGCTTATCCTACAGCACCACACCAGAACTTCTTTCTTTTATTAGAGAGTGATATTTAGGAAACAAGATCTGGATACTAAATGTATTCATTGCTACTGAGCATCATTTATTTTAGGACCTCTAAGCAGACAGAGCTAGTAGAAGAAAATATATATAGATATATACCAATCTATAAATACATAAAAATCTAGACTTCTATCTATATCTAGTCAACTATGTATATACCAAATTAAACATGAGTCCATATTGATGTCTTTGACATAATCCATTTTAGGCCAGCCTTCCTCCTTGCTTATCTAACTTGCAACTCTGAAACACCTGGCTATCATAAACTTCTACATATTTATTAATTTGTTCAGCTCCAGTATACAAGTAAGGAAGTTCAAGAATTGTTAACTCGCAACTGTGACCAACAACTTTACCAGTTAGAGTACAGTTTTTAGAATAATTCCTGTGTGCCTCAGTGTTCAGTAAATACAGTTTTCCAGCACTACTTATGACTATCAAACCCTTTTGTCACTTGTTTTTCAGTGAGTTAGACTATTATATCACAGATTCACATCTCTTTAAAACTGTTGTTGATGTTAAGTGCCTTTGAATCAGTTTTGACTCATAGAGACCATGTATAGGGTTTTCAAGGAACATCTGGTGGGTTTGAACTGCTAACCTTGCGGTTCAGACCCACCTTGGGTCCAGTGCTTTATAGTACACAGTGGCACTAGTAAACTTTAAATTTCATATTAGTGCTGTAAAGTTCTATGGGTTTTAACAACCTGGCACTGTGGGTTAATGCACTGGACTGCAAAGTCGGTTTGAACTGCAATGTTGATGGTTCAAGCTCACCAGCTGCTCGTCAGAAACACTATATAGGATTACTATGAGTCAGAACCAACTCTATGGCACTTAACAACAACAACAGTAACATAGAGAATAATTGAATCACCCTAAAAATCCCCTAATACGTTTCTTTCATAGCAGACAACAGCTCTCCCTTCCCCCAAACCATGGCACACTGGGAATTATTTTCCATCCCTATGATTTTGACTCTTCACACTGTATGGATTCATATGCCTTTTTTTGGTCTGAATATTTCACTTACCAAAAAAAATTTTTTCTTTCTTTCTTTCTTTTTTTAGTTTTTAATGTGAATTAAGTGAAAGTTTACAGGGCAAATCATCAGTTTTACATTCAACAAATCAAACATTTTTTTTTCGTTACAATGGTTATAATCCCCTCCATGTACTATCAGTTAACAGTATTTCTCTCTATTCATTTAATTCTCTCTCTCTCTTTTGTAACCACTCAGGCATATATAATAATTTACACCACCAAAGGGCACACTCTGCAAGTCTGCCTCCTGGACACCAGCTTTCAGTCCCTTGCTTCCTATGAATCTAGAATCCTCAGCTGCTTCCTATCTCCATGTCCCCATCTCTGGTGTCGCTGCTTCTCTGGATAAGGTCCCGCATTCCACTTGCTCTTCTCCCTTGAATGTTCTAGGGTCCTCTGTTTCTGGACTGTAAGATTAACTACTCCCCAATTTTTGTTACAACATTTCTACATTTACAATTGTGACAGTTGCAATTAATCATGATAACAATTCCTACTGAATCATAAGAATCTTATCCCCATTTCTTTTTGTGAGACCCATCTAGACAAGATGAAACCAAATACTTTTAAGGAAGACCAGTAAAATCCACTATTATTTGAATTTGTGCACAACCAATCAAGCCAGCGATGATGAATATTGAAAAATCCTACCAACTTGTTCGGAATACTGGTGTTGATTTGTGGGTTAAGGCCCTGGACTGCAAAGTCAGTTTGAACCACAAGGTCAGTGGTTCAAGCTTACCAGCTGCTCCTCGGAAACCCTATGCAGGGTCGCTATGGGTCAGAACCAACTCTATGGCACTTAACACTTAACAACGATAACAGCAACAACTAACTTCTTCAGTCTGAAAATGATCAAATATGCACTCAAGATATATTGATAATTACTGCGATTGGAATACAAATGTTGGAAAAAAGAGAAAGGATCAGTAGTTGGAAAATATGACCATGGTGATAGAAATGATGCTGGAGAATACATGATAGAATTTTTCAAGACCAATGATTTGTAGTTGCTGTCAGGTGCTGTTGGGTCTGTTCCAATTCATAGTGACACTACATAGAACAGCCGGTCCTTCAACATCCTCACAATCATTGATAGCTTGAACCCATTGCTGTGACCACTGTGCCAATCCATCTCATTGGGGGTCTTCCTCTTTGCCATTGACCCTCCACTTTACCAAGCATGATGCTCTTCTCCAGGGACTGGTTCCTTTTGATAAAATGTCTAAAGTATGAAAGACCAAGTGTCACCAACTTGACGTCTAAGGAGTGTTCTGGCTGTAATTCTTTCAACACAGACTTGTTTGGTCTCTGGCAAACAAGTTGTTGTTGTCAGGTGCCATCGAGTTGGAACCGACTCATAGTGACCCCATACACATCAGAACGAAACAATGATCCTGGGCCAACCTCACTAGCGCTGCCACACTTGATGCCATCAATGATGCCACCTGGCCAATCCATCTCGTTGGGGGTCTTCCTCTTTTTCTCTGACCCTCCATCTTACCCAGCATGACATCCTTCTCTAGCGATTGTTCCCTCCTGACAATATGTCCAAAGTATGAGAGATGAAGTTTAGCCATCTTGGCCTCCAAGGAGCACTCTGGCTGCACCTCTTCCAAAACAGATCTATTGGTTCTTTTGGCAGTCCATGACACTTTTAGTATTCTCTTCCAACACCACAATTCAAAGGCATCAATTCTTCCATGGTCCTGGTAGTCAATAGTACTTTTAATAGTCTTCTCCAAAACCTTAACTCACATGTATCAATTCCTCTATGGTATTCCTTATTCATTGTCCAACTTTCATATGCAGGGGCACTTTAGTCCTCAAACCAACATCTTTGCTCTTAAACACTTTGAAGAGGTCTTGTGCAGCAGATTTGCCTAATGCAATACTTTGATTTCTTGACTGCTTCTTCCTCGAGTGTTGATAGTGGATCCTAGCAAAATGAAGTCTTTGACAACTTCAATCTTTTCTCCATTATTATATTTTTTTATTGGCCCATTTGTGAGAATTTTGTTTTGTTTTGTTTTACACTGAGGTGCAACACATACTGAAGGCTATGGACTTTGATCTTCTTCATCATTAAGTATTTTAAGTCCTCTTCATTTTCAGCAAGCAAAGATGTACCATATGCATATCACAGGTTAAAAAGTCTCTCTCCAATCATGATGCCATCCAGCTTCTCAAGCTATTTGGTCAGCATTCAGACTGAATAACTATGATGAAAAAAATAAAATACTGTCACAGACCTTTCTTAATTTTAAGGATTTAGTGTCCTCTTGTCCTATTTGGACAATTGCCTCTTGCTCTGTGTACAGGTTCCTCATAAGCACAATCAAGTACTCAGGAATACCCATTCTCTGCTATGATATCCATAGTTTGTTATGATACACACAGTCAAAAACCTTTGCATAGCTTATGAAACACAGCAAACATCTTTCTGGTATTCTCTGCTTCCAGACAAGATACATATGATGCCACCAATGATAGCCTTCATTCTATGTCCTTGTCTAAATTTGAATTAAACCTCTGATGATTCTATACATGGACCTCATCATGTGGGATCCAAAGGAATCAGATTAGTTACATCTGGGGGAAGATATGGTGGAAAAAGCTCAATGTCATTAGGCAAAATGGTAAGGGGACGACTGCAGAAGACACCATCAATTGCTCGTATGCAACTTCATTTTGAAGAAAATTAAAACAAGTCCATGAGAGCCAAAATATGACTTAGCTATATCCCACGTGAATTTAGAGACCATCTGAAGAACAGATTTGATGAATTATACCCCAGTGATCACAAACCAGAGAGTTGTGGAATGACATCAAGAACATCATACATGAAGAAAGCAAAAGATCATTAAAAGTACAGGAAAGAAAGAAAACATCAAAATGGATGTCAGAGAGACACTGAAACTTGCTCTCCAGCATACGACACTAAAGCAAATGGAAGAAACAACAAAGTAAAATTGTTGAATGGAAAATTTCAAAGGGCATCTCAAGCAGCCAAAATCAAGTATTATAATGAAATATACAAAGATCTGGAGTTAGAAAACCAAAATTGAGGCAATTGCTCAGCATTTTTCAAGCTTAAAGAATTGAAGAAAAAAATCAAGCCTTGACTTGCACTATTGCGGATTCTCTGTGCAAAATATTGACTGATACAAAAAGCATTAAAAGAAGATGGAAAATATACACAGAGTCACTATACCAAAAGAAATGGTCAGCATTCAACCACTTGAAGGGGTAGCATATGACCAAGAGCCAATCACACTGAAGAAAGAAGTCCAAGTTGCACCGAAAGTACTGGTGAAAAACAAGGCTCCAGAAATTGACAGAATACAAATAGAAATCTTTCAACAAACTAATGCAGCACAAGAGGTGCTCACTCATCTGTGCCAAAAATTTGGAAAATAGCTTCCTGGCCAACCAGGTAAAAGATCCATATTTGTGCCCCTTCCAAAGAGAAGTGACCTAATGGGATGTGGAAATTGTCAAAGAATATAATTTATATCACATGCAAGTAAAATTCTGCTGAAGAGAATTCAAAAACAGCTGCCAGAAACTCAAGCTGGGTTCAGAAAAGGGATATCGTTGCAAACACCAGATAGATCTAGACTGAAAGCAGAGGATACCAGAAAGATG